GTACTTTTATAAGTTAGAAACTAATCAGATTGTACAATGAAAAATTTTTTATTTTTTATTTCTGATCATGTTTTGTATAAGATGATCATTGTGTAAAAAAGTTACTATAAGCAAGTTAATCATGCAATATAGAACTGATATAAAATCACCGTAGTGCCTCAAATTTAATTCAATTTACATAGTGATATCTTAAATGCCAATAAAATTTTAGGCAAAGTTCTTAAAGTTTCGTAAATGAAGATGTTGATGAAATATTGTATAATTAAAAAGATATAACATTGTTATAATAAACAGTGCGTTATCTTAAATTGATAAAAAAAGAGTTATTTCCATAAAAATGTATGTTTTTGGGAATTTTTTCTGACATAATGTACAATGTATGAATATTTATTTTAAATTTATTTAACTGATTCCTACTTACATGTATAAAAACCTATTTACATTCATGTAAAAAATTAACAATACACTTACTGTTTATTGAAATTACAGAATTAACAGATAGCAGTATTATAATATTTGCCATAAATGTGTACAGCTATTTATCTAGAAAAAAACAAAAAAAATATATGAAAGTTTAGTTATTAAAATATCTTTTAATGAGGAAAAATCAAATTAATTTATTATTATATCTATGTTGCAAAATATGTATTTGATCATATACATTTTAATCACAATTTATTGTTAATAATATAAGTTTTTTCTAAAGAAAAAAAATTGAATTGTTTAATATAAATGTTTATATAAATATTTAGATTGTTTTAAATTGAAAATTTATTCAATATAAAATTTTATATATTTTAAATAAATTTAAAAAGCAGAATTTTTAATATGAATAAATTCATTCTTTTTATAATATAATAATATAAAAAAAATATACAATTGTAAAACTTTAGAGTAATCAAAGTTATACATATATTATCTTATATGATATAGTATTTATTTAAAAACAATATAGAATGTATTTTAGAATATTTTAAGTAATGCAAAGAAAGTGCATATTATTTTTTGTATTTTATTAATACACTTATTTAATAATTATTTTATCGTTATAATCTTTAAAAATTTATTATAATTTAATTATCATATCACTTTCATATTGCATTACTTATAAGTGAGACTGTTTTCTTTTTAAAAATTATTGTTAAAATTAAAAATATTAACAAAATATTATATTAGAAACTGTAACTGCAAATATTTTTTGTTAATATTTTAAAATAAATGAATCATTTTTGGACATAAAACATTATTTTTATAAATTTTTATAAAATGTTTTTTTTGTATTACCTTCATGTTTGGCTAGGTCCAGGTGTTGCATCAGAATTTTGTGACTGATTGAGAAATAGTACATTACTGGTTTTTATACTTGGACCTGTAGATATAAGTGATGGACATGGACTAATACATGGTGTTGAAGAATGACTATTACTTAAATCACATTGGTCTAACAATTTCCAAAGTTCTTCTGGTGTAGGTCCACCAGAGACATCTGTAATCAATTTTCGTGATATGATGTTAATGAATTCATTAAACAAAAAAAAAAAAAAAAAAAAAAATAATGATTTACTACTAATATGAATTACTTTGAGTAGAAGAAAAAGAAGGTTCTAAAGCTGTTGTAAGATCCCACATTTGAATAGTCCCATTAGAATGTCCAGTGAATATAAAACGTCTTGGTCTTGAACCCATACGGCTAGATCCTTCACATTCATGTACATAAAATGAGCTTATAATACTACCATCCACTGATTTAATTACACAAACTCTTTTTCCATTTGATGCTAAACGTACAAATAATTGATCAGTTTCAGGTACAACTTTTTGAACAAAGACTTGTTCATCATCTTGTTCTCCAAATGGTCCTATGATTTCAAGTATAATTGTTATCTATTAATAATATTAAAATCATTTTCACTATTATATTATATCAAAAAACATACCAAAATCATTTCCAGCATTGTAACTAATACAAGATTCAATTGCTTCTAAAGATACGATTTTAAAACTAGCTTCGGGTGTAGATCCAGGTTGAGTAGAAATCATTCCACGAAACCTTGTTACTGCCCAACTCCTAACATGATTATATTCTGAACAGACAGATACTAAATATTTTTCTGACAATGTTACCTGTAGTATAATTTAATATACATAAATAATTTGTAATTTTTTTCTTAATATATATAATTTCATAAAGAAACATACTTTTGTTACACTACTTTGATGCACTGTAAATGTTTGAAATAATTGTGGACCATGTCCTACAGTTTCAGGATGTTGAACTATAACTCTAACGCTGCCAGATTTTGTGCCATATGCAATTTCTATCCAGTTACCACAAACAGCTGTATAAAAAAAATTAAAATTACAGTATATCTTTTCTATTCAAAATATTAAAAATTTTTAATATAACTACATCTCTCAATATATAATATAAATGACACAATACCAACATTACATATATTGAAATTGTAATAATGAAAAAAATATGTACTTATAATATATAAGATAATGTGTATAATATATAATTTGTTAGTACATAATAAATGACCTACATAGATATTACATGCGTTATGTCATGATGGAGGAAGAATATGTAATAAATTCATAAAAAATTTTTTAATTATAAAGAAGTATATTATTTATATTTTAATAAAATTTTATGTATATATATATGCTAATAAAAGCAATAAATATAATATTTACAATGTATGTAAAATTATAGTTTATGTATGATATGTACTTTGAATTGTTTGAAATGAAGAATAATTATGCAAGCAGAGGTACATAATATCTATTCCCTTCCCCTCTCAGATCCATAAAGGTGTTATGTCACTTGAGTAGTAAAGCAAAAGAATATAAAAATATTATAAGTACAACTGGATGCATAAGGATAGTGGGGGTGTGCAATAAGATAAAATAAGTGTTTTGAGTATATAATCTCTATATATTTATGAATATAGTTTGTTGAATATATATTATTTTGTTACATATTTTTATTCTAATTTAAAATGATATAAATAAAAATTATTTCTTTAATGTATGAAAAAAATGTATACACATATACAGTTTTAATAAAAATGCCATTAAAAATAATATGTACATGAATATGGATTTGTGCACAATTGTGATTTGATACTAAATAATATATTATACCTGGAGAGGAAGGGTATGAATACTAATCAAAATAATGCAGAATGTTCAATGTTATATAAAATGTAGTAAAATATATGTCAATTTAAATTGTGACTTGAAAGTGAAAATATTGTAGAACATTGTTATATTGACCCATACTTGCCTTGTGCTATTTATCCAGTTGTACGAAATCATGAAGCAAAGAATGTAATAATAAACTCATATTAGAATTCAAATATATTATTGAACTTCGTAATAGAAGATAAAATATTTGTATCTAAAATAAAACTTATTGATGTGTTTAATTAAGAAAAAAATATATTTTCTATTACAAAGAACAAATATATAATGAAATTTACACAATAAAATTAGTCAATTACTAATTGTAACTATTAAAATTGTATAATCATTAAAAAATATTAAAAAATAAAATTTATATAAATTATAAAAGTGACGTTTGTTATTACATTCCTCAATACAAGCGGACTTAATAATTAAATGTTAGTCCATTTATTTGTACGTCACTGGAAAAGATATTTCTGCAATAGAAATACTGTAATATTCAATGTTATGACTATAAGTTACTTATTATTTACCTTCAATTCTTATATTTATTATATATATATTTTCATATATATATATTTATATATTTATTTATTTATTTAAACAATATCATAATATGATAAAAATGAATATATAAAAACTTACATGTTTTTGGTGTTAAATATACAGATATAGCTGTAATAGGATCATAATTTGGATCACGATACAATTCAGTTACAAGTAAATCATTATCTTTCATTCTCAAAGGAAATTTTTCCATATCTGAAAATCAATTTTATATATTTTAATTATGAAAGTAATTTTTATTTAATCTTATTTAAATTTTAAATTACCAATATAATATATAGATCCATTGTTGCATCCTAATAAAAGAAATGAACCAGCTGTATCAAATGATAAAATGGGTACTACATCTTGTATTTGCCAATGATGTGTCATAGCATGCCATACACCAATTTTATCAGTAGGAGATAAAGCAACTAATTGGCTTCCAATAAAAAATAAATATTCCACACGAACATTTAAATTGAATGTGCCAATATTAGTTTTCATTCCATTTGCTGAAATACTCCATAGTCTGACTTGATTTCCATAGGAAATAGCAACCATTTTAACATCTCCACTGGTACTTAATTTTGATGTTATTGCCACTCTTTCAATTACTGATTCTATGTGAGGACTTGTAAATGCATGTTGCCAACCAGATGAATCTTTAAGTCGATAACATGTTATAAAATGAGCATAAGCAATCACAATCCAATTATGATGTGCTTTTATGATTTGAACTCTTAAAGGATCAACCCATGATGAAACTATAAAAAGATTTGTTAAAAACTTTTTTCATAATTAAATAATATATATAACTATTTACCTTGTTGAGGTCCAAATACTAAACTAATATCATTTTTATATAATTTATTTAAATCTGCTGAATTGTTCCTAACATGTCTTAAATCTAGAGATGATGTGCGTGAATGTGGTAAACCTTTCTGTTGAATTCTATAATCTAATGAAGAATTTCGCATGTGACTATTAAGTACTCCTTTATGATTTTGTTGTCCTAGAAAAAAAAAAAATAAATATATATATATATATTATAATTAATATATTATATATTATATATATAATTTTAATTAACTAAACTAAATTTATTAATAGTTTAATACCATTATTATTATGGTTATTTGAAGTTCCAGGAATTGGATTCTGAGATGTAGATGGTACATCTACTCTTGAATTAGTATTATTAGTTGGAATTCTACCATGAACAGATACATCTCCTATATTTGATGCAACAGTAGTGGGTTCTTGTAATGGTATACCTTTTCAATTGCAATATGTAGAATATATGTATATTTTATTTCATCTATTTTTATTTTAAGAAAAAAAATTATTTAATCTTACTTGGTGGTGGTAAATAACCATAAAACAAAACATCTCCACAAGATGACTGAGTTAAATCTTCACATAACATTAATCTTTTAACTAATGGTATAATACCATAATATTCAGCTTCGTGTCTTAATGTACGAAGATCTACATTTTTTAAATCAATATCCTTTGTACGAAGATAATTTAATATAATAGAAAATAATTTTGGATCTCTATCTATAAATAATGCACCAATTTCATCTCTATGACTGGCAATTCTATTACTTAATAAAGCTGTAAAAAATGAATCTGGAACCCATGTTAATGTTTGCTTTGATGTTGAGAACCTAAATAATAAATAATTTTAGATAATTATAAAGATAACTCATCTAAATAAAAAAAATTTCAAATTATATGACAATATTTAATTATTGATTAACAATTAAAACAAATTATTTATCAGATAATTTTCAAAGGCAATTAAATGTTTGTTTATACCTTGTTCCACCAACGTTTAAATGTACAATATCGCTAAGACCAAAAGAAGGAGGTATAGCCATTATTATAATTAATTTAAATGCCAATTTTTATTTTGATGATACATGTCTTATATCAATATATATCAAACAATTATAAAATCACACTTTACTTTTTATAGGTTATGAACAGTAACTTTGACTAAGCTATAAATTTGCACATGCGTAATATGAGTATCGTTTTAATGAAATGAAGCTAAAATTTAAAATATTTTTTCATATCGAATATTTTTAAATGAAATTTAAACAAAAAAAAAAAAATGATTAAAATTCCAATTTTTATTAAAATATTAGAAAGTATTATAAATTAAATATTATTTTAATTATTAAAATATCTACATCAATAATTCTATTATATAAAAAGCTTAATACTTATTATTCAATGAATTGTTGAACATTCGAACATTTCTTAAAATCTTTTTAGTTTTTGGAAATAAAAAATAAAATTAAAATTTAAATTTTAAGGAATAATTTGAAATTAATTGATTGAAATCTTTTATAATTCGTCAAATAAGAAAAGTCTTATTTTATATATTATATATGTATATAAAATAGTAGTAGTAAAATATAGTCATTTATATACATATGTATTTTCTTTAGCACTTAACTAGTAATCTATTACCATCTATTCCAAAAGTGTTCAAATTTATCGTATATTGATATCGATAATAAAATATTAATAATTTTTGACTAGTAATGCCATCTTTTTGAAAAATATTGAACTTTTTCCACTTCCATAAAAAAGTTTCAATCTTTTCAATTTTTTAAAGACGTAATATCATTAATAAATTTATTTTGTTGAATCAGAATGCTACAAATGAAATAAAAAGAAAGAATAGAAAATAACGAGAAAAGAATAGAAATAAAGTAAGAATTGATCGAGCTAAGAAATCATACATATCTTCAAAGATAGAATAAAATAGAATAAGAATTGAAAGTCAGAGCCATCTTTTGAATGTTTTTAGAAACATAATTTTTTGAAGAAATATTTTCAATACTTCACAGATGGCGTTAACAATCAATTCTTATTATATCTCTATCCTTCTTTCATTATTTACTGTTCTTATTTATTTAGTTTCATTTACGGCACTCTGGAGATGGCGCTGATTTCAATATTTTTATTCTATCTCTATCTCTTTTTTTTACTATTTGTTCTCCTTGTCTATACTTATTCTGCAAAATTCATTCAAGAGACGGCATTATATTTTAAGCTTTGATTCTTTGCTTAAAAATTCCTTTATATCTATATTAAAATATTCTATTTTAACGAATAGAATAGTTATAGAATAATCAAAGCTTAAAAATGACAATATTTAAATATTATAAACGGTAAGTATTGCGCAAAAATAAATTTTTTATGAACCATGAATTAATTTCAACTGTTCCTGATATCTTTTCCTCTACTTTCCCTCAAAATATACCAAGTATATCATGAAACTTTTGCGTGCATTGCAATTTTTGCAAAAAAAAAAAAAAAAAAAAAAAAAAAA